TATATCTGTACTGCACATAGGGTATTTATGGAAGTACACATAAGGATATCAGGGAACGCTTCTTAGAGGAAGTGACTACAGTGCTTAAAGAATAGTAGGTATTGAGTGTTTTATGTGGGAAAGTTGGCAAAAGGGAAAGTATTTTAGGTAGAGGAGAAGATGAACAATAGCAATTGTTCATAACAGTTGTATTCCAGAATGGTGGAGCATGACATGGAGTAGCTCAGGCTGTTGGGATATAAATAAGGATGGACAAGGGAAAGAAGCTCAAGGTCTAGAGGATCATGGGCTTCTGCTGCCATATTAGTGAGGAAATTTTCCTTGGCCCCATCCAAGATGGAGAACCATTGAAAGCAAAGGAACATGATCACCTTTGAATTTTACACAGCTTACTTTGGTAAACTATTATGGAAGGATACAATATATATAAAACCCATTAGGGAACTGAATAAGAGAAATCATAATAGATGTTGTCTTAGTTAAGTTTCTCATGACTGAGATAAAATACCCCAAACCCAAAGTTAGAGGAGGAAAGGCTTATTTCAGATCATAGTCTGTAGAGGTTTCATTCCGTAGTCAGCTGGCTCCAAGGCAGGGCGGCAAGGCAGAGGGGCATCACAGAGGAGAAACTGTTCATAGCAAGGCAGGCAGAAGGCAGCAAGCAAGCAGCAGCAGCAGCAGCAGCAGCAGCAGCAGCAGCAGCAGCAGCATCCTGCCTTACCTTTCTCTCTTTATGTTCCACCCAGGCTATACATTTGTTGATTGGTGCCACCCTCATCCAGAGTGGAGGTTCCATCTGGTTATGCACCATTAATCCTAATATTAAGCACTGTAGATTCAGCCATCTCTGAAAAGCCCCACCTATGAGAACATAAAACTTTGAGGGGATACTATGATACAAACAATAAGAGACATATACAGAGGTGTTCAGCTTTGAGAAATGTATAACTGAAATCTATGAAATTTGTTGACTGACAGACTATGAAGGACAAGGGTGAGGAAGAATCAGAGGTCACAGCTAACTTCTGGAGTTTTATTGGGGTCCTTAGTGGTACCATCTACTCTGGTGCTGGATACTCATTTAGGAATAGATGTGTTGGGGAATGATTTGAGTTTGGACATGTTGAATGCGCACTTGAGGGAGGTCATTCCTAAGGAAGTGATTTCTGACAGACATGAAGACATGTAAGCTTGGATTTCAAGTCCAGGCTTATGATTTTCACCACAGGCTACTCACGGTCATTTAAGTCAGGTTGCCCACATTGTGGTCTGCGTGCAAGCAGAGCAGCATTTCTCAAGAACTTGTTAGAAATGGAAATTCCCAGGCCAAGTTCTACAGCTTTTCTTTAAAATATCTATATTTTTAAAAACTCTATGGGTAAATGGTGAAGTTGGAGAAACACTCATTTAATTTGTATACATGGACAAAGTCACACAAGAGTGTAGAGCAGTTGGCTAAGCATGGAGAGATGCTGTTAGCTTTACTTTTAGCAAATAGCTTGCTGACTTCTTGTCTCTCTCATGACCACATGATGTTCAGACCACTCGGAACCTCTTGCCATTTAGAATAAATGTAAGTGTTTTCCATGGCCTACACATTACCTCATTGTGGTAGCCAACTTCCAAGACTGCCCCATTGATGTTGGTATTCAGGCTGATCATGCTGTATTGGGGCTGGTCTATGTGGGCAATGAACATGGCAGAAGTAATGGTGAGCTATTGCTATGGTTTATGTCTAGGTGTCCCCCCAAGGCTTCATGTAGTCATGGGGCAGGGACTTCTAGAGTTTGAGATTAATTTATGATCAAGGCTGGGATTGTGGGTCTTAGTACTGTTGGGATTATGGGTCTGAGTACTTCTGGGATTATGGGTGTGAGTGCTAGACCCAGCCTGGGGTGTGTAACTTGATTGCAACTTAAAGGAGACAGACTTGCTCTCTGTAGTCATTGTTGCTGTTACTCCTCCCTTTTGCTCTTGCTGTTATGCTGCCTTCTGCCACCATGAATGGCTGCCCTCTGTCATATGCTGCTCTGCCTTGGAGCCAGCTGAGTATAGACTGAAACCTCCAGTAACTGTGAGCTACATAAACCTTTCCTTCCTTCATATTTGTCCTGCAACAAGAGAAGAGTAACTGAGACAGCTGTGTTATAAAAGACTTGTGCTTTCTCTTTTCATCTGTCATTGATTCTTCATTCTGCAGGAATCCAGATACCATGTCAGCATGACCCTCAAGTCCCTTGTGGTGTGGTTCTCCTGGCAAAGAACTGGGTAAGCCATCCTGGAACCAAGTCTTCTGGCTCCCAAAGACTATGGCTGCAGCTTTCAACTACATTGCAAACTTGTGAAAGACCCTAAGAAGAAACCATCCCATGATCTGCTCCTACATTGTCCTTCAGAAAATGCGCAATAACAAATGTGCATTGTGAGAAACTGCTAACAATGGGCAAGTCTGTCACGCAGCACTAGATAAGTAATATACTCATTGTATGGCTCCTGTTGATACTCATCTCCCTCTCATAGCTAGTGCTAATGCCATCTAATTCCATGCTAACCCTTTCAGGAGAAAGAAGTTCCCATTAGAAACCAGTTTTTCACAAGAATGTTCCTCCTCTCCATGTTCTCAAACCTCATTTATTTCTTTTCTTTATTTGAATTTCTGCTCAAATGCCAATCTCTCAGTGAAGACCTCTTTAACCATCATCTTAAAAATACCTCTTTCTCATAATCCGCTTTATATTTATCGATAGCAGGTCACCTCAACCAGGTAATTTTTTTTTTTTGGCGTGTGTGTGTGTGTGTGTGTGTGTGTGTGTGTGTGTGTGTTTTAACATTTGCTATCCATTTCTCCACAAAAATGTGGGCCTCTTAAGGGCAGGCACCTTGTATTCAGTGCTGTACCCAGAAACCAGAACTGCCTACCTACATGGTAGATTACCAGTATATGACTATGGAATGAATGAAAAAGGATGCACACTGGGAAACATCATTATTTAGGAAGGAAGAACTAGAGCTGCTTACCAAGGAGGAATCAGAGGAAGAGGAGGAGGAATAGCATCAGGGGAGGAGGAGAGAGAAGGAAGGAGAGGAAGAAGGACAGGGACAGGGAGAGAATATGAACTTTTGGGCATCTGAATTTAGGCTCAGGTTAGATACTTGTTTGCTACTCTGCTTAGTTTGAGGCGCAGCCTTCTTTTCCTCTTCTTCCTCCTCTTCGTCTTCCTCCTCTTCTTCGTCTTCTTTTTTTTTTTTTTTTTTTGCGGAACTGGGATTGAACTCAGACCCTTGCACTTGTCAGGGAAGTGCTTATTCTACTGAGCCATCTCCCTGGCCCCTGAGGTGCAGCCTTCTTATGAACTTTAGAATAACAATTTTTAACTTTACATACATACAAGGTCTTCAGGGTGTTGAGGGTTTTGCTACATAGTTGGGATTCATAGTGAGTCTCTGGTTTTCAGTCTCCCAAGTGCTGAGATTACAGGCGGGCATCACCATGTCCAGTCACAATTGATGTCTTAGAGCATGGGGTAGGAGGGGCACATCACCCAGGGATTGAACCCTGGCCACTGTGTCTGCCTAAGCAGGTGCTGTAGTCTGCTGAGCTATCTGGCTGGCCTAACTTTATATTTTGAAATAATTATAAGTTTATAGGAAGTTGTAAAAGAATGTATGGGAGCCTGTTTTACCCAGTCTTCTCTAATGTGAGACTCTTGCTCAATTTCATACAGTATCAACCCAGGAAACCCTCAGGGCTTACTCAGATAACTCTGGCGAAAAAATTATATATGTGTATATTGGCTCGCTCGAGCTCTACTCATACCCAGTCACCAGCTTGCATACCATCTCTACTTTTTCACAAATTTCAAGAATCCCATATAAATGGAGTGAGTCATGCTTTTGAAATTGGACTTTTCCTTTTATCGCGATTCCCTTGAGGTTCATCCAAGCTGTTGCCCTTTCACTATTTCAATTCTTTTTGTGGCCAGACAGTGTTCCATTTCACAAAAGTAGCTTTTTTTCTTTTTTCTTTTTCTTTTTCTTTTTTTAACTCATTCATTGTAGTAGATTTTGATAATTTCCATTTGGGGTTTAGAATACATTTAATTGCTAAGAACATTTATGTTCAAGTATCTGAATATAACTAAGTTTTCTTTACCTTGATAGCGCAGTTACTCTACTTAAAGAATGCAATTACTAAAGTGTGCAGTAAATCCATACTTAGTTTTAGAAAAGCCTGCCCAACTGCCTTCCACAGGGCTGTAGATTTCTACTTGCAGTGAGTGAGTGATCCAGTTTCTCTACATTCTCCAGCGTTATCACATTTATTTATTAATTTACTTATTTATTTGTTTAAAGTGACTCTCTTAAATCCATACTCATTTCTTCTGGTGGTTTTAATTTTTATTTCCCTAATGGATGAACATGATAAACATTATATTTATGGTATTTCTTTTTTTTTTTTTTTGTATTTTAGGGCAGGGTCTACAGGGTGTTCAGGCTCTCACTGCTAGATCAGACTCGTAGTGATCCTCTGGTTTATAGCCTCCCAAGAGCTGGGGTTACAGGTGTGTGCTATCATGTCCAGTCTCAATTGCCATCTCAGCGCGCCTCAGGGGCAGAGCCGGCATTGCAGGCCCAGGGATCGAACCCCCAACCCTTGAGCCTGCTTGCAGACACTTTAATCCACTGAGCTATTGGCTGGCCCTCGTATTTCTTCTATGTTTGTGGCATTTTTTTCTATATTTGTGATATTTATCTTATATTTGCTTATTGGTGGTATGTATATCTCCATTGAGAAAGTATTTGTATTTTTAAAATTAATTTTAAAGATTTCTTTGCCTTTTTATTATTTAATTTTAAGGATTCTTTGTATTTTCGCTGTATAACTCTATTGTTGACTATGTAATTTGCCTATATTGTCTCCTAGTGTAATATGTCTTTTAATTCTTTTATCAGAATTTTTCACAAAGAAAATATTTTTCATTTCAATGAACTAAAAAAATGGCTCAATTTTTCTGGTTATGGATTGTGCTTTTGTTGAATGATCTAAGACCTCTTCTCTAAATCCAGGGGCCTAGTGATTTTCTTCTGTGTTTCTTTATACAAGTTTTTATAGTTTTAAATTTTACATTTAATCTTGGGGTCCATTTTCAGCTAATTTTTGTACAAGACGTGAGGTGCTGTTATGAAGTATTGGGTGCATAATTCATAGCATTAAGATTTTTCTTTTTCTGTTTGGTCTGTGGACCATAGACATAGTTTCCTTGCTTCAGTGCCATTTGTGGGACAGGCTGCCCTGCTCCAATGAAATTACTTTTGTACATTTGCCAAGAACCAATTGGACTTGTTTGTGTGGGTCTGTGTCTGGATTCTCTACTGTTTCGCCAGTCTATAGGTTTTAGCAAATGCTCTTGTGAGTTCTCCTGTTTTCAGTTTGCTGAGATGCTTTATCATTCTGGCTTTTGCCAAATATCTTTTCTTAATTAATAGATCTTACAACTCTTCTTCTTAAGCCTGTTAATATGGTGGATTATGTTGATTAAGTTTTGAATATCTAGTAGCTTTACAAGACTAATATATATCCCTGTTTCATTATCTGTATCTGATTTGGGGTAAAATACGCCTCATGAAATGCATGGAAAAGTGTTTTTCTCCTCTATTTTGTGAGAAAGGATAATATATTTTTAATTAATGACATTCTTTCAAAGTTAATAATTCTGTTGTGAAGAATCAAGGTGTAGTTTGTTAAGGGAAAGAGAGGTTAGGCTTATACATTCTTTGTTTTTTAATCTTTGCAGTGCTTCTCTTTTTAAAATATTTTTTTTATTTTTTATGTTTTTGCAGTACCAGGGATTGAACTTAGGACCTTGTGCTTGCCAGGCAAGCACTTATTCTACTGAGCTATCTCCCCGGCCCACACTGCAGGGCTTTTCTATATTGTCTTCTGTGATTTCTCCAGAATGGAAATCTCATTTTAAGAGATTCCAAATATGGGGGAACTGGGACTTTAATGTGTTTTCCCAATTGCTAGCATTTTGAGAAGCACTGGAGAAAGATTAGGGATGAGCACTTGTATAAGCAGCTTATAGGACAGCCCAAGTATTAATGACTTTGAATCTGCCCTTTAATCACTTCTCTCTATATAATTAATAATACTTTACCATCTGTTAGAAAGGGTCAAGAGACAAAGATTACAGAGCTATGGAATTTTAAAAATTGGTCTTATTTTAGTTTTTAAAATTGCAGAGGACAATAATTATCCTTTGTGGTATATACGAGGTTTTTGCTTGATCTTAGCTAAAAGGCCAAGAAGTGATACATATGTGCTTATTTTATTGAGAAACAAATAGCAATGAGACAGTTTCAAAACTGATTAGTAGGAGATTTTCATTAATTAATACATTGTATATTGTTATCTTCTTAGTGGTTATCCATAGTACAAGATGCAGACAGGATGTCCTGTCCAAACACTATTAGTACAAATCTTTTTTCTCATTGAATTAAGCGAAAGTAGCTGTATATCTATCCTAACTATTCTGTATATACAAATATAAAATGGTCCTTCCTTTGTATCCCCTTTTCTGTTTAGTCCTGTCAGAAATGGGTATTCCATTGGCATCTAAATACTGTATGTGTGTCAATTCAGTAAAACAATACCACACAGTCCAGCAGTTCACAATAGTAGTGGGTTATGCGCAGAAGTTGTTGACTTGAGCTTTTCACAGCTCAGCATATTAATATGGCCTTACTTTATATACCTTGTTTTTATACTTTTCTGCTGGATGGTTAAGACCAAGATAAAGCGAGACCTACATATGTGTTTTAACAAGGGGATGAATTATATATCCATCACTGTAGTATAGATATCAAATAGTCCATCACTCTTAAAAAAAACCCCAAAAACAAACCCTTGTATTTTCTCTTTGAAGCTAACTACTGGACTCATACACAACCTTCAGAAAACACTGACCTGTTCTCCAGCACTATCGTTATGCCTTTCCAAGATGTCCTACAAAATCAGACAGCATAGATCCTTTTGGTTATAGATATTTCGATTTAATAAAATGTCTCTGATTCATTGTCACTGTAGCTATCAATAGTTCCCTCCTTCTCCTCGGTTATCTCCTTTTTGCCCAATGAACCTCTTGCTAGTTTCCCTCTTCTTTTTGTGAAGTTTGACACTGGGTAGTTCTTTCAGTGGAATTCCGTGATGATGGTCACCTGGCTTAGAGTCCTGTGGCCTCATTCTGTGGTTGATAAGAATGCAGATAATCACCAGATTAGCCAAGTACAGAAGCCCGTGCTGAGTTGCTGATTGGCCTGCGCTCTCAAAGCTGTTGAGACTCCGATAGACAGGCTTGGAAAGAGCAGCCACCTGGACAGGCAATAATGGATGCATGTGGTGAAGACACAGTTGCTGGGAACTTCACAGTGTCTTAGCCAGTGCTTCTTTCTCCACCAAGCCTTGCTGGGGTGGTTGAGTTCCTGGTCTTCCATATCTCCCTTGTGTCCTATGTTTTTGTCTTTTCATTATCTTTCCTTTTAAGATGCTCCAAAATCCTTCTTTTAACATTTATTCTTCCTTCTTTCCTTTTCTTTTTCCTCTCCTTCTCTGTATCTTCTCTTTTTCCTTCCCTGTTTCCCTTTCCTTCTCCTTCTCCTCCTTCATCTTAAGAAAAGGCTTTTTTAGTCATTATTTTAGAGCAGGTCTTCTGGTTACTGAGTCTCTCAATCTTACTTTGTCTGAGATTTTCCTCTTTACCTCTTCATTTTGATGGGATGGATTCACTTGACATAAAATTTAGGATGGGAAATTGTCTTAACACTAGAAAAATATTTCATTTCCTCCTGGTCCCTGTGGTCTCTGTTGAGAAATCTACTGTCATTCCATTTTTTTTCTGTGTACATAAATGCTGTTTCTCTTTTGCTGATTGCAACTTTTTGTTTTTGTTTTTAGTTTTCTGAGTTTATGTTGTATTATGGCATAGATTTCTTTAGGTCTATTCTGTTGGGGTTTGCTATCTTCTTGATTCTATATTGCTGTGTCTTTCACTGAATTCAGAAAATTTCCATTCATTGCTGTTTTTTTTTTTTTTTTTTTTCAGAACTGGGGATTGATCTCAGGGCCTTGGGCTTGCCAGGCAAGCGCTTATTCCACTGAGCCATCTCCCCAGCCCCCCATTCATTGCTTCTTTAAGCACTTTTAAATTCCTATCTTTTTTTCTCCTTTTCTTCTGTGATGCTTATGACATGAATGTTTAGAGTTTTATTCTTACTTGTCTCTGAAGTTCTATTAACTTCGTTTAACTTCAAGTTCTCTTAACTTCTATTAGTTCTTTTTCTGCTCTATTGTTCTCTCTTTTAAGTTTATAAATTATTTCCTCTGTCCTCTTTGTTCTGTTGTTGAGTCTATTAATTTTTTTTTGGTGGCTGAATTGTTATTTTTCAAAATCTTCATTTCTTTCTTTTTCTGTTAGCTTCTTATTGATAAATGGGAGTAAGAACTGAAATTCTCAAATTGGGCATCCCTGACACCACTAGGTAGGGATGAGAAGAGGGTCTCATAATTCATTGGATTTGCAAACCCAAGATCCCAGTGTAGATTTCTCTGCTACTATCGAGTGGAAAGACGAATGGTATAACACTGCAGTGGGGCCGGGATAGAAGAGTGAGCTTCCTACTCAGTCTTTGCAGAGTTGAGCTGTATTTCTTTCCCAGATGTTTAGATGTAGCATTGTCATTTTTAACTAAATATTTTTAGTCTTGATAAGTGATATCACTCCTGGTAATTTATCTAGAGAGAAACCCTTCGGGGAAGATATTTTTGTTTTCTTCTCTTGACATTTTTGGGCAGTTCCTTCTTCCTGCATATACTACAGGATATACAAAACAAAACTCCAGGGGGCTTTCTGCCACATTGCTCCCTGGCTCCTGACCTGGTCTGTTTTCTTCTCTCACATATTTTACAATATTCTTATGCCTGTTTCACGTAAGATATCCAGAATTTGTAGTATAATTCGCACGAAGTATGAGAAGAAGTATGTCTCTTGCATCTGAGTCCAGAACCGGAAGGACTCTGACTCTCCATAATGGGTCTCACTTGGAGGGAGAAGAGTCATGGCACGGTGATCTATCCTAACCCAGGGAATAATCGGATTAAGAATCTTGTTCCTGATTCCTGTGTGCTGTCCCTCTCAAGATCATTGGGATGGAAAGAAAAGAGGACTCTGGTACTCATAAGTGATTTGAACTAACTAGCTGAAAAGTTATTGTAAAAACAAATCATTTTGTGCTTTATTAAGATGCTGTTTTGGATCCAGCAAGTCTGGAACAGGACCTGAACACCTATGTTTTTCACACAGGCCAGGAGGTGGTCTGATGCTGCCATGCGTTAACTGGCATCCATATATTTTATTGGATTTGAAAGCCCACACACTCACTCATCTCACAGCTCTACCCACTGCCCTTATGAATTAATTGCACTCTTTCACGAAGGAAATGCAGACTCGTATTTGTGGGTTGGCAACTATGCATCTAAACACCCGTGTACCTGGTATTGTGGGAGCACAGGGTGCCGTAAATGGTAATGGAAATGCAGAGGAAAGAGCAGAGAGACCCATCCAGAGAATGTATTTTTTGTTGGCTTTGTACAATATTTGCTGCCTTCAAAACTGCCATAATTTTGGGTGAAACACCATGACAAAGCATTGAAACATTTCTCAAACTGTTTAGCTGTTTGAATACTCCTCCTGGGGTTGTAGGTGAAGTATCCTTTCTTGACTTGGAAAGATAAATTGGCATTCTTTGTCTCTAATTTTAAGGAGTGCATTTCCCTAAGAAGGAATAATTTGGGGCAAGAAGACGGCTAGTCCCAGCAGAGCATGATAGTGACCAGCAAATGTGCAGCGTGATCCATGTCCACTTGGCTGTGGTGAAGCAGGACGATAATCCAGTGTACAAGGAGTTCCCAGTCTTGGGCCTTGCTCCTGGGTCCTCTCTGAACTTTGTAACCAGTCTTAATTTCTTTATGATGAAAGTAATAAAAAGGTTGAATAGTACATGACATAAAACCTGTTTAAAAATACAAAGTGACGTAGAAATTTATACAAGTGGCTAAGTACAATAGAGGCAGTCTTCCCAGGGCATTGGACTGTAGCCTGGACTCTGCTCGCTGTAACTTTCAGTTGTGGAAGATTCAGGAATCAATTTCCAAATAAATATGATTGGTTCCAAATCCCTAGCTATCACTTGAGAACTTTCTCTATGAAAGTTCTATCACTGAAGCTGATATCATTCCTGAATTTAAGGTTCAATCTCTTTGAAGAAAGATACAAAGTACAAGTTGAAGAGAGATATTGTGTGTTGTTCAGTGTCACCCGTCATGTTATCAGCATTTCCACTACAGTAGGAAACACTGAGTTTCACCCTTTTCTCTAGAGTTATGTAGAGTTCCATAAGAATGGTGTGTGTGTGTGTGTGTGTGTGTGTGTGTGTGTGAGTGAATGTTGGAGAATGAAGAAGAATGAGAGTAGGAAGAGTAGCCAAGGTTAAATGTAGGTGTGCAGGACAAAAAATATTGAACAAATACTGACACTCTGCTATTGCTTATTGACAGTGGTATTGGTTATTAAGTGCATCTGTGAATTCAGGGTCTGTTAACAGGACAGAGCCAATGTTGGTTTAGTAAGAGCATCTAATGATCAGAATTCTCCTTAGCCAGACTCATCTTGTAATCTCCCTGCGTCTGTGCTGGTGATCTGAGCTTCTGACAGTGGGATCAGGAGGGGTGAAGGTATTACAGAGAGATGCATCTGGGGCAAAGAGCCTCTCATCTACTGTGAGGAAGGCCACTGGACAGCTTACAGGAACTGTGTTGAGCTCCGTGAGTATTTCTCAACTACTGTTGAGTTTTAGCTGCACATAACTGAAGGGCATGGGTGGGGGGTTGATCTGGCTCTAAAGCAAGTGGAAGAAAGGAACATTCTGGACCTGTGATCCTGGCCTGGGTTAGGGTTGAAAGTATGGGAGAGAAGGTGAAGGAAATCTTCCCAAACCACCCTGTAATGCCATGTGACAAGCTAATGAGGAGAACTTGGTTGGACAAGGTCACTGCAAACCTTGATTACCAAATTCACTTGAAAGGGACTCCAAACAGACCCTTCCCTTTGTGGCTTTGTAGAAAACAGATTTCTGGGAAAGGGGAGATCTGGGACACTAAATGACCACAGAAAACATAGTTCTTTGCTCTCAGGATGTGCTGGCAAATGTGGCCTGGGCGCTCCGGAGCTGGTGCAAGTGTGAGGATAGGAAGAAAGTGATCAGAGAGCGGGCATGGGAATGACCACAGGCAGTGTGGGTGGCTCAGCCTTCTCCTTCTGAGGTGAAATGTTTGTTGTTTGTTCCACTCTGAAGCAAGGTAATTGCTGGGTTTTTAAAAAATGGCATTGATCTGGGTCTTTCTTGACTTTCCAAATGACTTGGTTCTCTGTTCCTCAGCAGGACTCTGACACAGCCCAGCCCCATCAGTAGAGCAAACAGTGCCGCTCTTCCTTTCCCCTCCACCCCTTAGTCCATCAGCGATGAAACTATCTATCTGTCTATATCTTTGCTGATAACAAAGGAACTGAAAAATTCTAGTGCAGTAAGGCAGCACTGAGAGCCCATTTCAAGGACTTTCTGAAAGTGCTTTGCTCTCTGGAGTTTGTGGAAAGCTGATCCTCTGTGGCTTTGCGCAGCTGAGCTGCCTTGGGTCTAGGGAAACACTCCCTCCAGTTCCCTAGCAGACTCTGCCTAAACTAACTGCTTTACTGCATCCACTTTTTCTGCAGCAGAGCAGTCTGTAATCTTTAAAGGGGGAAGGGCTAGCATTGCATCAAAAACAGAAAAATATTTGCCCCACAAAGAAATTAATTAATTGGAGGGAAAAATAGATAAAACTTCCTCTAATAGATAAAATCAATGGTGATACTAGGTAGATCATTTGGCTTTAACATGTCCTGGGAATTTCTAGTAAAGACATGATTATGAGGAATTTGGCCTTTTTTTGTGATATCTCTGCTTAAACTATCTCTCATGGAAGGAAAAGGTCATCCTTGCTTTTCCTAAAGATTTTGCAAAGAGAATAGAAAGACATATCTATGATTGAAACCATATAGGGATTATTTGGATTTTACACTATTAAAATGAAACATTGCACATGTAATACACAGAATAATAAATATTGTTAATAGTGCAAATCCAAAGGGTCAAGGGGATCCAGCGATCAAGTTGACAGCTGCTATGTAACTTTTTCTGGGGAATATTTTATATAACATATCACATTTAGACATGAACCCTAGAAGTGCAACATCAAACTCACATTAACATGCAAAAGAAATATATGAAAAAAAGGACAGTATGATGGGGTACTAAAGTCGAATGAGATTTTTAATTTCTCCAAGTTATTATGAGCTACGTTAAACATTCTAGGAAGGTTTCTTAATACAAAATTCTGGGACCAAAAATAAACTAATGGCTGGGGTGTTTGAGAGAGTCAGAGGGTGACCCATTATGTGCTGTTGTACCTCTGGTACATGACGAGGGCTTCTCTGCAGCTGGTTTGGGGGAAGCACATGAAGATTAGTTCATAAGACTTTCTTGTCTTTCAGAAGGTCTGCAATAAACTTCTCAAGCACTTTGCACCAAATACTCTACTTATATTTTCTCCATGACCCTAAAAGGAATATATTATTTGACTAATTTTGTACATGAAAGGAGGCCCAAGGAGGGTGGCCACTTATAATTTTATTTATTTATTTATTAGAGAGAGAGAGAGAGAGAGAGAGAGAGAGAGAGAGAGAGAGAGTGGTGTGTGTGTGTGTGGCCAGCTCAGCCCACCAGGGGGCGGGGCTGGCTGGCATGTGGTGCTGGGGGATCGAACCGCGGTCCCTGATGCTTTGCTAAGCTTGTTCTAAATAGGTGCTTTAGACCACTGAGCCATCTCTCCAGCCCCACTGAGCCATCTCTCCAGCCCCGGGTGGCCACTTATAAAGGACACATGTTCTTTATTTTTTCTTTTTTTATTTTTTTTGAGCAGTATTTTAAAACTATATTTGTTTGACTTTTAAAGAGCACATCCTGTACTGTTTTACCAACATGGTTAATTTGATTGATTAGGGTCACCTTACGGCTTCTTATTATCAAACATACCAGGACCTAGTTAGGGTCTAACATACTAGGACCCTAGTTAGGGTTGCCAGATGAAATAGAAGATGGACAGTTAAATCTGTTTTCTGATGACTAACAGAAAAAGATTTTTAAGTGTAAGTATGTACCCTGAAATGTATGGAATACATTTTCACAAAAAAATAATTTGTCTTTTAACTGAAGTTCACATTTAACTGGGTGTCTTATGTTTTCATTTGATAAATTTGGGGATCTTAGTCTTCATAGGATCTCCAGAAGGAAGAAATGAATTGGAACATCCTGCTGCTTTGGAATAATTGGAGAGTCCACCTTGACCTAGAAGAAACTTCTAGTTTTCTCCCAGGGATATCAGTACAGTTAGGATGTATTTGGTGCTAGTGGTGCATACTGAATGTACTGGGGCTCTGGGCACCCATCCCCAATTCCTGTGGTTCCAACCACATTCAGAAGAGGCACAGCTCTTGCCTGTTGACAAGGATAGAAAGAACACATAGCACACATATTAGAAACAATGATCAGATCTGACAACTCATCTCCTACAGCCACAGAAGACTTTGTCAGGCCAAGACCAGACAGTGCCTTCTCTGTGGCCTGGGAGAAATCACAGGGTAGAATCTCAGTGCCCAAGGTCCAGGATATTTGTTGAATTCTTCATTAATTTATTTATTCACTCTACTAACATAATGCACATTATATTATATCAATATAATCCCCATGCACCAAACACTCTTGTAAGTGCTGAGTCTGTGGAAATTGACCCAAATTGAAAACATCCCATGAGGGGTATTCCACTGGGGATAGTGACAAGATTCATAGCATGAGAGAGGGCTTCAGGGACCCGCACAAGCTCACCATTCCTTGTGAAAGCTTGTAAATTAGCCATTTCTTTTGAACATCTTGTGGACTGGCAGAAAAAAATGACAACAAAAATTGAGGCCAAAATATTTTTTAAAAGGATAAAAATATATTGGAGGCAAAGCTAATAATTTAAACCTAGTTTTGAACATCCTCAGAAAAAGTTGTGAACTTGAAGTTACATAGTAGAAGAGGAGAGCGCTATGCAGTGAAGTGGGGGAAAAAGAACAGAGACTGGCCTGAGCTACGACTGCCAGGCAGGGTTGAGGCTAAGAATATTAGCACAAATCCATAACAGGTGAGGTAAGGAATCCTACGCAAACAAAGTTTGCAGCCTTGGATTATGGAAGGGTTGGCTCAGGGCAAGAAGCTAAGGCTATTTAGAAGTTCTCTGGAGCTTTCAGAATCTTCCTTGCCAGGGTAAGTTTTGTTAATTGTAAAAGAAAAGGATAAAGAAAAAACAATGTAATCCTACATTTTAGTATATTTAATTTTTTAGAAATCTATCTTAATTTCCTATTATTCACATTTAAAGGGCAATGCACATGTCTGGAAAGAATATACTAGGTAATCTATAATTTAGATAGGAGAAAATGTTGAAATATGGAAGAATTTTATGCTTGAATATATATGGAAAAGTACGTAAAGTTTCGAGAGCCAAGGAGAGCCACCAAAGACTGTAGATATATAGCAGTTATTCAATTTCTCTTCCTTAACACATGGTGGGCCTGGTGGTTGTGTAGAAGTATGATCTTGTGGTGCATTCGCAATGCTAGTGTACTATTTATTGGAATGATGTGTACCTAAATTTTCAAGTATTTAAATCTCTCAGTGGTCAGGGTTCTAGATATGTTTAAAGTCCCCATTAATTTATACTACGTTTTCTTCAAACCTCTTTAAATACAATGATCATTCCTTTCCTAAGTCAAGGCAAAATACTCAACTTCATCATCAAAGCACTGTCTTGCCCAGGTTTGAGTGACTTGAAGGCCTATTGCATTTTTGTCTCATTGTTCAGGGAGTCTGAAGGAGAAGCAGGGGCTGTCAAAATGAGTGACAACACCACTTTGGCTCCTCCAGCACCAAGCCAGGGTCCCACCACCCCCCGCAAAGGGCCGCCCAAGTTCAAGCAGAGGCAGACTCGCCAGTTCAAGAGCAAGCCTCCGAAGAAAGGTGTGAAAGGGTAAGACCAAGATGTGAGAGAATGCTTCCCAACCTTCTCCTTTCCCATATGACTCCTTGGGTTTTGAGAAACTAACTCGTCATATTAAACAGACTTACAAAAATTCCCACTGGCCCCCGCACCCCTTTTTCCTCTCCAACTCAAGATTTGCAGAATTAAGTCTTTTGCCCTGGAATCCATTCCCTTTCAGCACCCAAGTGAAAGGGCAGACAGCCTGAAAACTGGCACTTTTCATGATAAGCTTTGCCTTGGCTCCTGGCCCTTTCGTGGCCAGGCATTTGTGCTGACAGTCTGTGCTTAGGTCTGGAATACTGAGTCACTGGCCACCATCAGAAGAGACAGTTCATTTTTGTGGCTTTAAATCTTATGTCCTCAGTTCCCCATTTCTCTCTTCTCAGTTCTTGGCAAAATTGTATTTATTTTCAGCACACACAACTCATATGTTAATTTTTTGAAGCCTTTATTGATTCAAACAAACTTTATCATGACTTTTCTGCTTGTATTGTGATAGTATTTAACTTTCGTAACTTGTATTATTTCATATTACATTTACTTATTTACCTGTGTTCACCAGGACTAAAGCCCTTCAGGGGAGATTTCTTAGTTCTTTTCTTCCACTTTCTGTGCCTCTCATAATGCCTACTAATTAATAGATGATTAATTAGTGCCTGAGAAGACGTGAACAAACAGATCAGTGCACCATTTTAATACTTTTTCAATGACTCAGTAACTATTTTAAAAAGTGAAGCCTGACTATAGCATCCTCCTAATCATTCTTTCTGGCTTTCACCTTTACTACTGTAAGTTGCTGAAAGGGAGAAATCTCTCCCCTCAGGGTGCACCGTATCCTGCTGGAGTGACATTTTCTTGGCTTCAGTACATTTTCAAAAGCAAACACTTAAGCTTCTCCTAGCCCTCAGGTCAAGAAACCCTCCTTGTGAGTAACTCTGGGTCCTTCTTCCTCTGGTCACAACTAATCTTTCTATTGTTTGTTTTTTCCCCATAGGTTTGGAGATGACATTCCAGGCATGGAGGGGCTAGGGACAGGTGAGCCACACATACTGAAATGAGAATTTTGCACTTGGAGTTTCATCTTTTTACACATTTCAGGCCTTAAGGACCAGTTGCAGATCCTCATAAATGCTTACAATAAGGCAGCAGGTCCTTTGAAACCACAGCAATGTGAGGATATAATTTGCTCTTCCAAATAAGTCTATATGTGACCAGGTGTAAAAACTCTAGGAGAAATTAGAATAGGTCCAAAGTTGAGTGAATCTTTTTGTTTTGTTAAGTAAACTTAAGGGCATATAATCGTAAGTTGTAGATTTTTATGAAAGAAATATTCTCAGAGTTTGTCTAGCCCAACTTTAGTTTTCAGAAGAGAGATATGAGATGGAGAGGAACTCAGCATCAATCTGAGGCCACAGTGTGAGGTGTTGGAAACAAGGGTTGGGCCTGGAGAACGTTTCTGCTCTACCAGGCAAACCACTCTTTACCAACTTCCTCTTCTTGCATATCCACCAGGGCCTACAGCGGAGGCCTACAGACTGAGGGCTCTGGGTACGTTGTGATGGGTTTGAATATTTGCATTCATTAAATAATGACTGCAATCACTTCACTTAAAAAAAAAAAAACTAATAGACTGGGAGAAATTGTAGATTTATACAAAAATTAAGTAGCAAGTCCAGAACTTTCTTACACACCCTTTACCTCCCCTTCCTCTTGCACGTACTTCCTCTTCTAGTAACTTCTGAATTAATCTGGCATGTTTGCTGTATTTTATGAGCTGGTAGTGACACATTATTATTATATTCAGAGAAGTCCAAACTTGTATAGCTTGTGTTTATTCTTTGTGTGGTATATTACTTAGGGTTTTAAAGATAGACTATGTCATATACCTACCATTATTGTACCATGCAGAATAGTTCCACTTTCCTAGACATTTCCTGTGATACAACTGTTCCTATCTTTCCCCTAATCCTCAACCCCTGACAAGCATAAATCCCTTTACTGTGTCTTAGTCTTGCCTTTTTCAGGGTAGTGTCAATTCAGTTAGAACCACAGGTGTACAGAGCCTTTCCACACTAGCTTCTGTGAAAGATTCCTTTATATTTTATAAGGCAATACATAACTACTGTGTAATATTCTACTGTGCAAATGTACCACGGTTTGTCCTATTGAAGGGCCTCTTGTTTTCTTCTAAACTTTGGAAATAATGAATGAAGCTGCTATACACATTCAAACGTAAGTTTATATGTAGATACAAGTTTTGAGCCCATCCAACACAGTTGATAAATGGTTATATTTCTAGTGATCAATGTTTTTTTTTCCTAGTTGTTTAATCCCTCTGACTATCAATGGCTTCTCTGTAAGTGAGAGATAATAATATCTTATCTAGATCAAGAGTTTGGATTAGAGGATGCATTGAGATTGCTTCTCAATATGAGACTTGATACAGGAATTTCAAAATCAAAGGACGTGAAGGTCCAGTGAGACTGGTTCCAACAGCTCATGTGGCCTGGTAGGGAGTCACAAGACCGCAGATTACAAGACCACTGGAATTTAAAGTTTGATTCTTGTTTTAATCCTTGGCTGGATCAGAATTCCATTTCTGTGCTTTCTTTGATGGTTGACCTGAGGGAAGCCCAGTGAGTTGTTCCTACAGTGTATTTCCAATCAAATCATAGTCTCCTCTATAGAGAGGCTGCAAAATAAAACCAGCAGAGATGCCTGGGGCGGAGTGATAATTACCCTGCTGGTTTCATCCTTCCTGGCTGCAAGGCATTCTAGATGACTTCCAGGTAGGGGAGAGTGCAGTGAGCCCTGTCTGCCTGAAGGGATACTTTTGAGCAGAGGCAGCTGTACTTGGGGGTCCCCTTGGCTTATATGTTGTCTCAGTTACTTTTCTCTCATTGCTGGGACAAAATATCTGACACTCAAAATTAATGAAGGAAAGCAAAATTTATTTAGCTCACAGTTAGTGGAGGTTTCAGGCCATACTCGGTGGGCTCCAAGGCAGAGTGGCACATGGCAGAGGGCAGATGTTCATGGCAGTGGAAAACAGCAAAGAGCAAAGGGAGGAGCATTGGCTGCAGCAACGAGCAACCTCTCTCCCCTCCTTACATTGTATCCAGACTACACACCCATAATCCCTGCATTGGATCAATAATTAATCACAAACCCAGTGACTGTATGAGGCTTTTGGGGGGGGACAACTAGATACAAACCATAACACACGTTTTTCTGTCTCTCCTAGATATCACTGTGATCTGTCCCTGGGAGGCATTCAGCCACCTGGAATTGCATGAGCTTGCTCAGTTCGGGATTATCTAAGGCACCAGAGGCTCTGCCACCCTCATTCATTAGCATCTGTTCTACACTTGGTTACTTTGCCCTAGCCATCTGCAGAATCTGGAAATTAGTATTCACTAGCAGTTGTGGCCCTTATGGGCCATTTCTGATCAGGTACTATTGAGTTGTCAGTGTCAGAACCACTCTTGCAGCATGAGTCTGCATGGAGCAGTAAGTGAAAATCTGTATTTGTTGGGGGAATTTCAAGTTTTATCACCTTTTCTTGCCAGCTGGTCAGAAAACATTAATATTTCTCTGTTGTTTATTCAAGCTTCCTAAATTTATGTTTGTGAGGCATTCATTACAATTAGCAGTAGACTTCAACGATAACACTTATGTCACATTCTTCTCCTTTTATTTTAATAAAGGAGAAACTTACCTCAAATCTTACGATGTTGTATTAAATGTGTTGAATATCTGACACCTTGTTCTGAGAACCAACTAAGTGACGAAGGCACAGTCAAGCAGGAAACAGCCCAGGATTACCTTCAAAAGAGCACAGGATTATGGTTTAAGACATAACTTTGCTTTGAAAATTGTAAGTCACATACATTTAGGGTCTAGACTGTGTTGAACTAGGTTACGATAAGGGTCCCCTGTAGCTCTAATTGTGTAGCTCTAGGTTGGTAGAAGATGGCAGACTTCAATTCGGACACCTTGACAACACCAACTTCCGCTTTGGAGCTCTGGTTCAGGAAAGTTGCCTTTCACAGCATCCTTCAGTGAAATTATTTTGCCCAATAGCTGAAGGTGAGAGTGACGAAGTATGTGTACAGTCATTGACAGGCTCTGTATATACTTATAATAAATTACTTTCAAGTGGTCAGTTGGAAAGTCATATACTATCAGGTGGAGAATTTGATGCCATGGATAGTGGCTGCACCTTCTAAATAAAGTGATGGTTTGCTTCACCTCTGAAGTGTGTCAAGTTCAATGTGCACATAGCTATCTTTTCCCAATGCTTTCATGGCAATTATGCAATTCTAATATTGCCTCTGCCTTACTTGGATGCTTTGGAGCTGGCAGCGTGCATTTCTTCATTTCGGTTTTGTAATCTGTGGTAAAAGAACAGAGTAAATTAACTGAAAAGAGAAGAAGTGAGATAGGAGAGTCAGGTTCTAGTTCTGGCTCTAGCAGTAAATCACTCTGTGATTTTTGGGTGAAGACTTCATGCTGTTGGACCTTCCAGTTTGAAGATTTGATAATGAGAGGTTCATTGGAGTCATAAGTTCTATGACCTTGGGGTCTCTAGGAGGAAGTTAGGGCAAGAGAATCTCTCCTGCTGTAGGTATTTTGTTAACTACTTTGCATAAATAATCAAATTGCCTTCTGGCCAGGAAACTGGGAGTACAAAAGAAAAGAGCAAGACATAAATGCAAAAGTGAAACTACAGCCTGCAAGGAGGCACTGTGGCAATGTCACTTCCTTCTCCAGGAGGGCCCCTGCCTGGCAGCTGTGCACCTGTGTCCCCTCCTGCCACAGCTGTCCCTGTCCTGAGCATTGGGTGCTGCCTTTGACAGCCAGCTTCCGGCTCCGCTTGTTCATCCCAAGGTGTCTTTTGGTTAATGAGCCCAGGTTCTCCTCCACTGGGTAATGCTGGTCCACATTTGATTGCTTTGCAAAGTTGTTCTAAACCGGAAGCAATAATGTTGACAAAACAGAATACCTCAAGAGGAAGGTGTCCAATGGTCAAGGCGAAGAAGATTGAGAAACTAAGCTGCCTGAGGAACACTTGAAAGAACTAATGATACCTAGCTTGGAGGAGAAAATAACAGCTGGTAAATATTTGCAAAATGGTAACAATGAAGCAGGATGAAGCAGACCTGTTTCCTGTAGGGTCCTAGCATTTAGTGGCAAGCTGGTGTAGATAGAGTTTAAATCCCATTCAAACTCTAAAATTTTATTATTTCAATTCCTAAAATCTAAATTTTACCACTTATATTATTTCTAAGGCAAAACAGGAAATTCCTTAATATATAAAAAGCACACATGAAAGGTATTGATTCAGTCATAAAGGGTGCCAAATTCAAACAGAATAGTTGAAGAAATTTTTTTTTTTTTTTTTAGTAAAAATGGTTATTCAGTTATTCAGTTCCAAGTTTGAGACCATCCTGGGCTACAAAGTGAGTTCAAGGCCAGCCTGAACTGCATAGTGAGATGCCATCTCAAAAACAAACAAACAAACAAAAAACATGAAAGGTGAAATAAAGCATTAACTTAACAAAGATTTATTCACAGGCATACATGGTAAGTAGACAAAAATAACAGAAAGGTCAAACAAGCAAAACAACTTTCACCCTGTGGCTTTTAGCTTGCACCCCGTGTGCCTTATATCTAGGGCACAGAGAGCTTAACAAAGAGCCTATTTAGAAATTCTTAGGAAGAGTTTGGGGGATCTACAAATACCAAGGCACTAACCCTAGGTCTCAAAGAACCCTGAAGTATCAGATCAAAGAAAGGGCCTGCTGACAGCACCAGGGACACAGTGGAGCGGCACGGTGCGCAGTGATTATAGTGTGGGTCATCAGGAGCTGTTGAGCCCCTCAAATATCTGGTTGTTGTTTTTCTTTTTTCTACTTTCCTGTTGATGCCTCCCGTTGGCTTGATCCATCCGGAAGTTGCCGACTTCACTGACGGCAGCCATTAAAGTTCATCTTTTATAGCAAACAGCAGCCAGAGAAGAGTAGGGCGTAGACCTGAGGGGCAAAGCGTGAGCTCCAGGGGGCGAGGTACTGAAGAGCAGATACTCCTGTCAGTCAGTGACTTGGCGCTGGAGTTGGGATGTGCCACATATACGTCTAATTCTCCAAAGGTGATTATGATGTAAATACTGGAATAGAGAAAGGGCAAGATGCAGCAAGAACAACATAGACAAAGGTGGGCAATCACAGAAGTGATTTTTTTTATAAAGCTTCAGGATTTGAAAAAAAATTTGAAGTCTCCACATACTTTCAAATAATAGGAACCCTGAGGCTCTTCTGTGAAAAACACAGAAGTTGGACCCCATGCCAGGTTTTATGAATTAAAATCTCCAAGGAGAGATCAGGGAATTTATTTTTAAATAAGAACTCAGGTTATTCTGATATTTATGACATTTTGAAAACTATTGATGTGGTCCACGCTTACAGCTTACACATTAGGGATGAGCTAATTATTTTTTTTTTAATTTTTAAAATTTATTTGTGTGTGTGTGTGTGTGTGTGTGTGTGTGTGTCAGCCCACCTGGGGGTGGGGCTGGCTGGCTGGCATGTGGTGCTGGGGGATTGAACCGCGGTCCCTGCGCTTTGCTAAGCTTGTTTTAAGTAGGTGCTTTAGACCACTGAGCCATCTCAACAGCCCAGGGATGAGCTAATTCTTTATAAAATATTTTTATCAGTTCACATTAATTTTATAAAATGCTAGCTTTCAATGTGGCATTTTTCATACATCTGTGTATGAAAACCTTTTGATCCTATTCTTTTTCTACTTCCCTGCCCTACATGCACATTTCCCCCTCATTCCTCTTGGTTAATGATTACCTCCCTTCTGCTTTCTTCCCCCTCCTCTTTTTGCTGTTCTCCTCTTCTTCCTCCTCACCCTTTTTCTCCCTCTTCTTCTCTTTCTTTTAGACTTCATGTAAATATGGAAAACCTGCGACACTTGTCTTCCAGAGTTTGGCTTACTTTCCTCCACACGATGGCCTCCAGTTCCATCCAGTTTTTGAAAATGATGCACTTTGTTCTTTTGTATGTCTGAATAGCACTCCCTTGTGTATGCAATGCACACACCATATTTTCTTTACCCACTCATCATCGAAGGATACATAGGCTGGTTCTGTATCTTGACAGTTGAAAACTCTTACACAATAAACATGGGCATGCAGTGTGCCTATGGATACTGACTTTAAGGATTAGCTAATTCTGTTTTTGTATTTTAGGGAAGGATCTACAGGGTATTCAGGTTCTCACTACTAAATCAGACTTGTAGTGATTCTCCTGTTTACAGCTTCCCAAGAGCTAGGATTACAGGCACGTGCCACCACGCCCTGTCTCAGTTGCTATCTCAGCGCACGCTGGGGGCCAGGACAGCACAGCAGACCTGGAGATTGAACCCCAGGACCCTGCACGTGCTTGCGGGCATTTCAATCCGCTGAGCTATTTGGCTGACCCTAGCTAATTCTTATTGCCACTTTGTGATCAATTTAACCCATTCTTGCTCCCCAGTGACACATGTTGTGTGTGATGATGGTGGTTACTTAACATGTGTATGCGCCAACTTTGACAGAGACAATAGCTATGTCTCATTACCCAGTAGGAGCTCCGCTAAATGCTTCCTCAATTGTGGAGAGTCTTTGAGGGTTCATGGTTAGATATTGGCCTGAAGCAATGAGATGTTAGAGATGTTAGAGCCAAATGGGGACCATAATTGCCAAGAGATACTCTCCTGTTGTTATCACACTTAGCTGCCCTCCCTCCACGCACACCATCATGCAGTCCTCAACTGCCTCCTGAAGCTGGGGTCAGAGAGACCAGAAAGGAAGAAAGGTTTTGGTAAAGGCGGGGGAGGCAGAGACCTGTCTCTTTTCTGTTCCCGTGGTTGGGTGGAAGTGGACAGTGATGGCGCTCATGATGCAGGCATTGTGTCTCCTTCCAGACCTCAGCAGCGCCTTGGTCAGGCAGCAAACAGCATTCAAAGAGGAAGTGCTCCTCTGGGCACCCCAACCTCGGCAAACATGCAGAAAGTTCCAGTAGTTGTCATTGTGCAGCTGACTTCCAGCATGACAAAGGAAGAATCAATCTTATGATTACCATTCTTTAATGTATTTGGTTGCTGCAGGGTCTCACTATGCAGCTTAGACTCATGATCTTCCTGCTCTCAGCCTCCACAGTGCTGGGATTACAGGGTGTGCCACCATGCCTGGATTCTGGCCCGCTCAGCTCACCCTAGGGGTGGGCCTGGTGCTGCATGTGGTGCCAGGGATAGAACCATGGTTCCTGCGCTTGCCTAAGCAGGCACTTCAGTCTGCTGAGCTATCTTGTCAGCCCTGGAAGAACCAATCTTAGAAGGAGAGAATTTTCTCAACAACTGAAGGAATGCAGGAGAGGTGTACATGGAAGAATAGTCAAGAAAGCAGGTTCTTAGCATCAAGGAAAAACCAATTACACAAGATTGAATTACATACAA